TGCAAGACCCATTGGAAATGCAAAAAAAACAAAGCAGAAAGCAAACAAATCCCGCAAGACCCATCAGAAATGGGAACAAAAAACCCCAAAAGCAAACAAACCCCGCAAGACTCATTGGAAATGGGGGGGGGACAAAAAAAAACAAACCCTACAAGACCCATCACAGCATAGAAACATAATCTCACCACCCAGCCCAAAACCACACTGCAAAACCTACCCAGAGCAGTTTTTATAAAGCAGAAAACAGCACCTTGCCTTAACAGGCAGTCCAAAGCCTCCTCCGATTGCACTCACTCTAACTGCTGGGGCGAAAGAGCTACAAAGAAGCAGCCTCTTCACCTACCAACAGTTAGCAAATTGAATTCCCCTGCCTTTTCCCCCTGTCTTTTGTTTGCAACTCGAAGCTCTGGCCACAAGTCGAAGCAAAATTTTGCAGCCGGAGCTGGTTGTAACTCGAAGTGGTCGTATGTCGGGATGTTCATAAGTCGAGGCGCCACTGTAACTTGAAAATATATTGGATATGCACTGTTTTATGAAACATAAACATTGTTTGACTATTAAATAATTGTGTTCCATAGGTCTTATTCATGTTGGTGATGAACTTAAGGAAGTCAATGGAATTCCTGTAGATGACAAAAAACCAGAAGAAATTATACGAATTCTAGTATGTTACAAATGAAATGCTTTATTGAAAACAGTATGTAGAACAACGATTTTTAAAAAATGCTCAGCTTTTGGGGAACCATTTTTGTTTTCTTATGGTTTACTTTTACTGTTCCTATCAGATATTTGCTATTATTTATAAAGAAAAAGCCATTGCAGAAGATTGAGAGTTCAAACAACAAGAAGCTAATCAAAGATATGCTCTGGTTTTGCCTGCATACGTATCACTGTTAGAATCTTTCTTGTCATACTAAGCAGCAGTATGACAAGAAGGATCAAAACAAAACAAAAACAAATAATAATAATAGTAATAAAGAAGAGAAAAACATTGTAGTACCTAAAAGACTAACTGCTCTATTGTGAGCTTTCATATATCAAGGCCACTTCTTTAGACTTAAGAGTGAAACTACATGGCAAACATTTATACTTGGCCCCCATTGTCCCAAGATACAGTGTTTGGTTAGTAGACACAAGTTGCAAATTATGTGAGTCAGTGTGGCATTTCACACCTTTCTTCTCAATCTGACAGTAACATGAAGATTAATTTATTGTTGCTCTTAGGTTTATTTTAGATAATGGCAGTGCTCAGCAGAAGTTTGCAAACGAAGTCACCCCCATTCTCTTTGAGAAGCAGTTTGTTTAAAAATGTGTATTGTATAATTGTGGTCCAAATTTGAGATGCTATGTCATGGACAATAAACAGATAGTAAGAGCCAAATTTCAGTTAGAACTGAAAAAAAATTGAGCAGAATTTATTTGCTGTTAAAATAAAGGAAATAGGGTGCTGTGTATTATAAGCTTAATATACGGGTTTGCCTAGAAAAGGTTTATTCTTAACCATACAGGCTGCAACAACCTTGTCTTCTTTCTTGCTTTTGTTTAAATTCTACTGAGTGGTTTAGTTATTTATTTTTCATTTATTTTAGTCTCAGTCTCAAGGAGCCATCACATTTAAAATTATACCCAGTGTCAAAGAACAAACCTCATCTAAAGAGGGCAAGGTAAGAACTCATTTGCTTTGAATAAGGACTCAAGATGGGATGGCTTAGCTGTGATGTACACTGTCTCCATATGCAAATACATTTTGTAGTGGCATTTTAACGTATGTTATTTGTATGGCAGCATGCAATAAAAATAGAGACTGTTGTATTAATTATAAATAAAACATTCTTTTTTAGATCTTCATGAAAGCTCTATTTGATTATGATCCCAGTGAGGATAAAGCTATTCCCTGCAGAGAAGCTGGACTTCCTTTTAGAAAAGGTGAAATTCTTCAGATCATGAGCCAGGATGACGCAACCTGGTGGCAAGCCAAGCTTGAAGGTGATACCAATCCCAGAGCAGGCTTAATTCCTTCAAAGCATTTCCAGGAAAGGTCAGCTGTTACTGAGCTTATTTTTTCTCTCTGATACATATAGTTACCAGTTTGCATTCAGTATAATTATTATGCCTTTACCTCATAGATTGTTTGACATTCCTTATTTGCCTGCTTACCAGCAGTAATGACAAAACCTGAAAGAATACTGCTGATCAAGTTTGAAAGAAAAAGCATATGGAAAACAATATGTTGTTATGTGTATCTGTATTGCCATAAGTACAGTATGTACATACTATAGAGCAGTTGTTTCCAATCTTGGCTCCACCAGATGCTTTACACTACAGCTCCCAAAAGCCCCAGCCAGCATTGCTAGTGGGAAAGGATTGGGAGAATTGAAGTTCAAGTGTAGGCTCAAAAGCTGAGAACAACTGTTGTCGATTAATAAAGAGCTACGGTTGTGTCTGGAGTACTTGTTAATTGCTTGTTTAAAAAATATTATTTAGGAATGTGTTTATATAAAAGCATGTTTTGGAAAAGGCTGATACTAAACGTTTATTATTCTCCTGTAGGAATAACAATTTAAAAGTTTCTTTTTCTTTCTCCTTCCCTCCCTCCCCTAACCTGCTTTATAGAAGACTTGCCTTAAGAAGATCAGATGTGCAGGTTCAGCCCTTGAAAATTTCAAATAGGAAATCATGTGAGTCTGTTACAAAAATTAGATTTCACACTCCTTTCACATTTGCAAATGACATGCATCGGCACAGATGTAATTCTGATCATCGTCTGTAGGTCCAAGCCTGACATCCTATAGAACAGCTGGTCCATCACTCTATCCACTATACCTCACTGGATGTCATGTAAGAATATACAGATAGGCAATTCTTTTTAAAGTTCCGGTCTACTTTGCTGAGTCAAACCAACATACTATGATGCTCCTGTGCCATATTACAATAAAAAATACACCTCTTGGAATATGGACTGGTATTGCCAGATCCTCATGCATGAACTTCTGGAGTACTAATGTCTGAACAGGAATTACAGTTGCAGATTGGAGGGGAACGAGATTATCTTTAGAGTATGTGTATGTAAGTGTGCCATCATCACATGAAGGCTTTTGGGCCAAAAATATGTGCATCCTGGTGTTAAGACTCTGATTAGATCATACTGTAGATAATATCAAGCTAGTGTATGAGTTCTTACCACATCTGTTAAATGTTTAAACAATTGTTCATCTATCTTTTTGACTATACAGCTAGATAGGACTCTGTTTGAACCAAAAAAGTGAGCTTGTCCCAAGACATTAAAATGATTATTTTATGGTAGGAATAATAAGGCATGTTCATAAAAGAGTAGCAAGAATATCCTGGCATAGTGCTCTGCTGTGCATCTTCAGCTGAAATTGTATTGAAATAATGTCTTTTAAAGGAAGAATACCTCCATGCCTGCAGTCTCATGAACTGAAATGTTATTATGTTGAAAATAGTATCAGTTTTAATGACAAAATACAGGAGTAGCGCATAACAGCTAAAGTAACATTGGTTTGAATCAAATTATTTTATCACTGTACATCAGGTTGGACAGCATGGCAACATGAAAAGTGTCTGTAATGTTTTGGAAAACTTCTACTGGGAGTGTTTCCTTTAAATTTTAAGTAGACAGCATGAGAGCCTAGAAGGTCTTAGAAGACCTTTGAAAGAAGATGATAGGCAAAATGAAATAACATGAAATTGTGGAAGAAGGAGTTGTAATAGGAAATGGAAAGAAAAGGGAGACTCAACGAAATTGAGAAGGGAGAGCCATATAATACGATTTACAAATGAATAAATAATTCATATATTACCTGTTACAAATTCTAAAGACAGGAGATGGCATATTAAAATGCTCATGATGCCAGCAAAATGGATTAAAATATAAAATCAATTAACAGATTTCTCTATTGTTTTTAACTCTTGACCATTGAAGAATAATGGTACTAGATGAACTGAGAGGATCCTAGCTTTAAGAAGAAGGAATAATGATAGTAATTACATGACATCAAGTCAATTCCAACTTATTTGTACCCTTTCCAAAGTTTTCTGTGTAGAGTATTCCGAAATCCCTTTCTCCTGTGGGCACTCTGGAACTGTGCAGCTTGCCTACGGCTACATAGGCTAGCTCTTTTTTGTGGGAGGCACAGTAGGGTATCAGGCCCCTTACGTATCACTCTGCAGCCAGACTGTCATCTCACTGAGCTAGAGCAAATGGTTAATATTGTTTCAGAGATTTCTAATAATTAAAGGAAAGGAGGTGAAGAGAAGACAGAATATTTAATGTTTTAAGGCTTACTCTATAGGCTTAGTGCCTGGAAATGAGCTACAAATCTGAAATGTGTTCAGATTTGTCTTTTACCAACTTCTCATAAACCCTGTGTTTTTGCTGTAATCCCATCTAATATTACAGGGAGATTGGGGTATGGGGAACCATCTATTCTGCTGTTCTCAGAAGAGCTACAACAATTGCACAATATAGAAATGGATTGAACTGAAATAGTAGAGAGTCAGAATGGAACAAAAGATACTTCAAGAAGCCTCTGCAGGCATTATGGAGCCAGTTTGCAGCTGTGTAGGCTGATATACAGTACCTCCTATATTAGCATATGGTATTCCTACATTTGTGCATGAAATTCTGTACATTTCAGCTGCATCTTATGATTTGGATGCTTTCTCTTGAGAGAGACGGTGAGCCTATAGTTCTTGTAACTATTCAGCTCAGTGATGTTTTCGTTTTGTCGTTCTACATTTCATGTATGTTTAATTCGTGGAAGTAAAAACATTTCATGCTTTTGCCAAGCCATGATTTATCAGAATGGTGCAGATGTCAGAAGTAAGGCATCCACAGTTCACAGCCTACAAAATGTATATAAAAATAGGGTACTTGAAGGTAAATTGGATATAGAAAGTTTAAGCACCTGTTACATGAAACAGAAAAGGTATGAGAACATTTGTTCCTATTGCTCTAAAAATTTATACTTCTAAATCCATGCTGTGTATGCTTTTCTAGAACTCCCAATGTCTCACTTAAGGAAAAGTTTACATAAAAGAAACTCTAGTAGAAAAGGCATGAGAGCATTTGTTCCTATTGCTTTAAAAATGTATACTTCTAAATGCATGCTGTGTATGCTTTTCTAGAACTCTCAATGTCTCAAAGGAAAAGTTTACATAAAAGAAACTCTAGTCCATGCTGTGTATGCTTTTCTAGAACTCCCAATGTCTCACTTAAGGAAAAGTTTACATAAAAGAAACTCTAGATAAAGAATCTAGAACATAGTGGTATGTGCCCACTGGTAATTTGCATCCCTGTGGCATCCCCCAAAGTGATATTTAAATGGAAAATACATGGTGTAATCTGGAATCATTGCATAGATCCATGAGGCAGAGGAGGAGCCACCTCTCTTATCAAATGACAGGCCCTGTCTTTAACATATTGGATAGCATGAATGTATGCTTACATTGAATTGGTAGCAATTGCATGTTCGGCTGTCAAAATTATTGTGTTTGATAGCATTTGTCTTCAGAAAAGAACACACATTTTCAGTAATCAGGTCAGTTATGTTTATTTTTCTGTGTAATTATAATAACATTGGAATAAATAGCTTGTTTTCAACATATCCAAAAAGAGTTCCACATCAGTTTTTTTTTTAAAAACATACTTATGACAAAAAAAAATTAAAAGGCATCTAGGCTCTGCAAAATAATGTCTCATACATAAGTATTCTCTATAATCTGATTTATCTGAATTGACTGATTCTAATGTAATAATTTATGACAAGTCATGTGCAATAGATGGGAAGAAGATATTTATCTATTGCTTTACAAATTTACATCTAAAATGAAAGATGAAAAATTGATATAAAATTTGATATGAAAATCCTGTCTTAATATCCTGAATTACATCCTGTTTCACCACATTAGGAAGAAGAAATACTTAACAGCAGTCAAATATATATAAAGTATATGTGGTCAGTTTTATATTTGTATCTTGTGACTTCATGTGGTGGTAATATAAACAAAATGTAATCCATTTCACTAAATTGAGTTATTCTGACAATGAATTATGTACAGTCCAGTATTATGTACAGTGCCCATTGTGTATTGTGGTTAAACACTGAAATTAAAATATATAACAGTTTTATAATTTAATGCAATACTTCTGTTACATTCTACAGGCTATTCATTATTTCCATGTCATAAAAATAGGGCAACCTCCCCCCCTCCCAGATTTCTCACTTGTCAGGAAGCCTAACACACCCTCACCATTATTTCAAAACTACAATTTTTTTCCTGGCACTGAATCAGATTGCTTCATCTCAACTATTTTTCTTGCAAAAACAGTAGACTATCTTTGTCATAGGCCTGCTTGCTTGTGCTGAATTATGATAAGTTATTGTCATACATTACTTGAAGAATTGGGGGGGTGTTATTTGAGGCTTTTGCCACTATGAGGCCAGGACTGACCCATGCCAGTCTTTATGACTTGCTGTCTCACCTAGCAGAAGATGCATCTGCTGAATATTTATATTATGTCTGTAAATATTCCCTATAGTAAAAAATTATACTAGCATTTTTGCTTTCATGTTACTTGCACAAAATATTTTATGATGTACCTTTATAAAAAGTAATTTTACATATATTTTATGAACAGTTGCCAGCAAATTAAATGTTGCTGCTAAAACATTTTATACTTTCTCATTCAGATGTTAGTGTGTTGTTACATATTTCCTAGTATTCAAGTGCTGTACTGTGAATAACTGGGGTGCCCAGATTCATTTTCTGTGAAAAATAGAATAGCCATCTAGTGTAGTAGGATGAGAATAGTGCTGTGCTCTAATGGGCTAGTGAATATATAAATGAATGAATGAATGAATAAGATGTATCTGCTTCATGCAGTATATCCAGGGTAGAGTCATATAACTCCTATATTTACCAAACAGCAGTGTTTAGAACTTCACAAGTTAGCTCAGAGCTCTTATATGTTAGCCTGTGAGATAGTTTCAGTTAGCATATAGTTTCTGTCTCATCCATCAGGGCCAGCCTGAATTTGAAGATACAAAAAAATCTGTGAATGTTCAGTTTGTCCCAATTCCTATTCACATCGTTGATGTATTTCTTCATTCCTTGTTTTGTATCATTTTTCTAGGATAATTTTCCTTGAGTATGCTATATATTTTATTTGTCTCTGTTCATTGTAACCAATTTGTAACACCAACTTAGTATACTATTACAGTACTGTATACAAATTAAAGTCAGATACAAGTAGACAACATGGAAATGTGAAATTTAGAGAATTCTGTCCACTTCAGAGAAGTGGATACCCAGTTGGGTAGCTGTTACATAGTCAAATTGATAAAAAAAAAATAGGTGCAGAAAGCTGTTTGACTGAGTAGGTAATGTGAAAGATACAGTCTGTATGGAAATCTGAGTTCCCAGAGATCCAGGCATGGCAATAGAAAGGCTGATGTGATGAGATTATGGCCAGACAGTTGGACAGAATCATCCCACTTTGTTTATTTATTTATTTATTTGTTTGTTTATTGGACTTATATTCCGCCCCATAGCGCTACAAGCACTTCCGGGCGGTTTTACAGTTTAATTATACAGGCTACACATTGCCCCCCCCCCCCCCCAACCCGGGGCCTCATTTTTCC